ATTACCCTGTACTGCACTACTCTTCTGCAGCTTTGGCAATATATAGTCCTCTATGAGGTGCATCAATGGTCTTGTCACACTAATGAACTCCATTATAAAAAGGTTGTTGAACATGAGAGGTGCTATGAATCTCTACTAGGCCTCAATGACTCCTTTGAGGATCTCCGCAGGCAAATTATGGGTATGAAACCTCTCCCTTCCCTAGAAGACACATTCAATACAATAAATATAAAGAAAGCCATAAGGCCCTGGTACAACTTTATCAATTTCTTCCTCATCTAATGCTGAAACTTCTGTTTTGGTGGCCCGTGGCCATCAAGGTGGAGACTACAAAGGGAAGAGTTTTCTCAAATATGATCATTGTAATAAAAATGGTCATACACGAGAGACTTGCTAACAAATTCATGGCAAGCCATCACATCTGAAACAAAAAACCAAACGTGATAGCAAGGGGTTCATGGCAAGCCAAACCAATGTTGACAATAATTCACTGAATAATGAAGAACTCGCTATGATGAGATGAATCCTAGAGAAGTATTCTCAAGACAAATCAAGTGAGAAACCTACCCTCTTGGTTACTTTGGCCCATGCTAGTAAGACTTTACTGACTGCACTTATTACTCTTACTAAAAGCAACCATATATAGGTTGTTGATTCAGGAGCAACAGATCACATTATTGGATTTAGAGAACTATTTTCTGAGTTTAGTTCCTATTCTGAGCATACCCTTGTGCAAGCAAGTAGCCAATACTACATATGCCAGAGTTATAGGAATGGGTACAGTGGTGATTTCAGAATTTCTTGTTTTGAAAAATGTTTTATATGTCCCCGATATTCAACGCAACTTGTTGTCAATCAATTGTATTACCTCTCACTTAAATTGCCTTGCCATCTTTGATAAATTCCACTGTTTTTTTTTTTTCAGTACATAACCTTGGGGAAGATAATTGGCAATGCTATGGAATGAAATGGGCTCTACTATCTTGAAGGCGACTTCACCAATAAAAGCTATTTGGCTTATTCTACTTCCAATTTTGTTTCCAGTTTCTGTTATGTCTCAAGATGACATTATGTTATAGCATTCTAGACTAGTCATCCAAGTTTTGATTACATGATAATCTTGTTTCCCAATTCCATGAATAAAATTAGATTTCATTGCGACACTTGCCAATTTGCAAAGCAAACTTGTAATTCTTTACCTGCTACTACTTATACTCCCACCAAACCTTTTTCTTTAATCCATAATGTTGTTTAGGGTCCTTCCAAGATTGAAACTAATTCTAAGGCCAAGTAGTTTGTTACTTTTATTGATGATCATGCTCACTTAACGTGGTTTTTTTTTTTTAATGGAAGATAAATATGAAGTTTGCGCTATTTTCAAGAACTTCTATATCTTTGCTCAAAATCAATTCCAAACTTCTATAAAAGTCCTTCATAGTGACAATGGAACTAAATATATCAATTCAAATTTTAAGAGCTTTATTGTTGACAATCCTAGGTCGTTGCCCGTAAGCAATGCGCTGCATGGCTCGAGTACAGTGATAAGTGAGTTAGAGCCGCTGCATCGGCGCCCGGATGTAGTGTTAAATAAGCAAGGGCTACCGCGTCATTCTGGACGCACGCGGCTAAAGAAGTTAGTCCATAAGAACAAAATTAGATTTGGCACTTGGAATGTTGGGACATTAAATTGTAAATCTGTAGAGGTTGTAGGGGTTATGATTCAAAGGAAAATCAATATCCTTTGCCTGCAAGAAACAAAATGGCGTGGAAAAGAAGCTAAGGATATTCAAGGTTTCAAACTTTAGTATACAGGAAAAGTAAGTGCACGCAATGGAGTAGGCATCATTATAGATAAGGAGTGGAAGAAGAACGTTGTAGAAGTTAGCAGAATTGGAGACAGAATTATTTCCTTAAAAATGATAATTGGACGTGAGACTGTTAATTTGTTAGCGCTTATGCGCCGCAAGTCGGGATAGAAGCCAGTCTTAAGGAATTATTTTGGGAGGATCTGGAGGGGTTGATTCGACATATACACAGAGTGAAAAGATTTTTATTGGAGGAGACTTTAATGGGCATGTTGGGAGGGAAGCTGGTCAGTATGCGAGGGTGCATGGTGGTTTTCGGTTTTGGAGAGCTAAACAATGAAGGACAAAACTCTTCTTGATTTCTCATTGGCGTATGATTTTAAGATTGCCAACACTTGTTTCAAGAAGTAGAGATAGCATCTCATTCTCCATCTTACAAAAGTGGAGCCTCAGGTCACAGATTGATTTTCTTTTGGTTAGGAACACAGATAGAAGACTTTGTAACAATTGTAAGGTGATCCCCGAAATGCTGGTAACGACACAACATAGGGTCCTAGTCCTTGATGTGTGTTGTATATGAGTAAAATCCAAAAACGTCGACAAGTAGTAACACCAAGGATTAGGTAAGTGGCAATTAAAAGGTGAGAAGCAAGATATTTTCAAGCGAAATCTTTTGGATAAAGGAATTTGGGAATCTCAGGGAAGTACTAACATCATATGGGAGGATATGGCTAAAAAAATCCGGGGGGTTGCAAAAGTAGTTTTGGGAGAATCGAAAGGTTCTGGTCCGAGAGATAATGGAGTTTGGTGGTGGAATAATAGTGTACAGGACAAAATCAAGTATAAGAAGAACTGTTTAAAGCCATACATTTGTGTAACAATGAGGAAAATTGAGAGAGGTACCGTATGGTAAGAAGGAAACTAAGAGAGCTATGGGTGAAGCTTCGTTCTAAAGCTTTTGAAGAAGAATTTTAAGAACCTTGAGACGAAGGAAGGAGAGCAAAATATTTATAAGATTGCCAAGAGTAGGGAAAGAAAATCAAGAGATCTAAAACAGGTAAGGTGTATTAAGGATGAAGAGGGAAGAATTTTAGTTACAGATGATGAAATTAAAAATAGAGGGAGACTTACTTTTCTAAACTTTTCAATGATGGAGAGGATCATCTAGTAACTTGGAGGATTTAGTAACTGGTGAAGGAGAACAAAATTGTCATTTTATCGAATAATACGTGATAAGGAGGTAAAGGAAGCTCTTAAGAAAATGGCAAATGGTAGAGCCAACGGATCTGATTGTATATCTATCA